CCGTTGACTCAGCTCATGTGAGGTAAGTTCTTAATCTGCTTCTGTCTTCCTTGTTGCTCCAGCAAACTTGTTTGCATAGGTAGACGAGAGTTAGGAATGAGTGGCTGAGGGAAGGGAAAAGGTAGAAATGCCTATTTCTGTGTTAGCATCAGTGCGTGCCGGTGAAAAAAAGAAAAAGATGGTGAAAGAGAGCATGGGACATCCAGATGGTGTGGAGTACCTAAAAATTTGAATTCACTTTGTGCTATTGCTGAAGTATGAATGGATTTTGGCCACCCAAATGCTAGTGGATAATCAAACAAATATTTCAAATGCCTTCTTTGTGTAAGGATAAATTCCACGATGGATTTTTATGGCTGACTTAGTGAAGAACTGATGTAGTCACTGCCATATCCATTTGCAAACATAAGCTCTCTTAATAGAAATGGCTGTGAATCACTTCTGCTGACTGTGTAGTTAGCATTTCCCTGTATTCCCAGCCAGACAGTGAATGAAATTGAGTGTATTCTTTTTCCAGTTCCCTTTTCTTTTGAACATAGTATCTAAGAGGCTATGACTGGAACCTCCCTTCTGTAGGCTCTCCACAGTCCTGCTGCAGTGAGGCATGCTCATCAAGTACACAGACTGCTGCAAAACATCTGGCAGCAAGTATGATGGAATTGCTGTACAGCTTATTGTGGTACTTTTCTGTAGCTCCCTTGCATTAAGATAAACTTTTCCTCAGCAGCTTCTTGAGATGAACACAAGTTAGAAATTGGTGTAGTGTCTAGTGTTTGTTTGAGTGTCCTTGTATGTGAAGAGAGATATTCTGCTACTTGTTGGTGTCCTGCAGGGTTTTACAGGAGTGTACCCTGTTGTGTTCAGCAGGACACCTTCATCTAAATGTTCCTTTTGGTCTTCCTGTGTTCATTATCTCCCTTCTGGCAAACACTGCTGCATGCAGATGAGGTTCTCAGTGTGGAAGGAAGGAGAAGCTTGTTTGAATAGCACAATTTCTTTTGTCTAAATTGGCCCTCATGTCATTACTGTACTGTACTGGTGAATTTTGTGTCTGGCTTCTCTTGATAGGTTGTAGCTTAGCTGCAGCTGTGCTCTGTTTAATTACATTTCATAAGGAAGATCTTCAATTTCTTTTTCCAGATGGTTAGTGAGGGGAATGTCTTGAGAGAATTATGGGTGAATCATCTCTTGATTACTGTAGCTGTAAGTAACAGTTGGATAAAGCCCAGACAATTCTTGATCTTTGGAAGATCAGCATCTTTCAATTTTTATACTGTATCTCTTCTAATGTAGGTCAGTGCTTGTGTGTTTGAATAACCCTTTGTACTGCATTCGGATGGTGTAGCCTGCTGCTAATTCCCAGAGTTTGCTCTTTTCCCTTCCCTAAGCCTGGAGAGGATGGGAAATCTGACAACTTAGACTCTCTTTCATAGAGTCACATTGATCATGTGGTTGGAGTGGACTGTAAAAGGTTATGATTCTAACCCCCGCCATGGACAGGGTTGCCTACCACTAGATCAGGCTGCCTAGTGTCCCATCCAATCTGGCCTTGAATGCCTCCAGAGATGGGCAGTCCACAACTTCTCTGGACAGCCTGTTCCAGTGCTTCACCACCTGCAAAGTAAAAATCTTCTTTCTAGTATCTAGCTTCAATCTCCCCTTTTTCAGTTTAAACCCATTGCCCTTTGTCTTGTTGCTATCAGACTATGTAAAAAATCAGTCCCCCTCCTGCTTGTAAGCTTCCTTCAAGTACTGGAAGGCCATAATGAGATCTCCCCAGAGTCTTCTCTTCTCCAAGCTAAATAAGCTCATCTCCCTCAGCCTTTCTTTGTAGGAGAGGCACTCCAGCCCTCTGATCATCTTTGTAGCCCTCCTCTGGACCCACTCTAACAGTTCCACATCCTTCCTCTATGCAGGGGCCCCAAGCCTGAGCGCAGTACTGCAGGAGTAAAGAGGGCAATCACCTCCTTCATCCTGCTGACCACCCATCTTTAGATGCAGTCCAGAATACTGTTGGCCTTCTGGGCTGCAAGGGCACACTGCTGGCTTGTGTCCAGCTATTTGTTCAACAGGACCCCTGAGCCCTTCTCAACAGGGCTGCTCTCCATGAGTTCTTCTCCCAGTCTGTACTGATATCTGGGATTGCCTCAACCCAAGTGTAACACCTTGCACTTGGCCTTGTTGAACCCCATTAGATTCTCATGTGCCCACTTTTTGAGCATGTCCAGGTCTCCCTGGATGGCATCCCTCTCTTTTGTTCAGAGAAGGAGATCTGAGTTATCTTCTATGTGGTTCTTTTAGGTAATTGGCTATTTTGTTTTGTTTTCCTGAAAGGAAAGGAGTAATCTTCTGTGTTGCTGGGGAAACATAGATGGAATGGAGAAAATGAACAGATTCTTGGGGTTTTTCTAGTCTCTCTGAGGCTTATCATTGTAGTCTTCTGAATTTGGGGATGTGAATTTGGCCTTTTGTCTTCTGCACTTATTCTAATGTTAACTCCTCACTTCTGCTTGTGTGACTAAATCTCCTGTGGCAGCAAGCCTTCTCTTCCAACTGTATTACATTGTCTCCTGGTATTGGGAGTGTTTTCTCATATGCTCTTATATGCTGTATTGCATAGATTACTGGTAATGAGGCATAAGAACAGTGCAGATCTGGAGGCTGCTGGCAACACACCAAAACAGGCCTTTGAGGTTGGAGAGAGAGGTGGTGGGGTGGGGTGGCTGAGAGAGTGACCATACAGGATGCAGCTTCTTTCCTGCTCTGAAAGTGAACCACAGAGAGCCAAAGTTGGCTTATGAAAGGTGCTGCTCCATCTGCCCCTCTGGGAGAGGAGGAAGAGCAAAGCACAGGGTGTGGAGAGAACACTCAGCTCCTCTGTGGCTCTTCCAGTGCCTGTGCTGCAGTGCTTCCTTGACAAAACTCTCTGCCATTGGGGTGATCCACTTGCTTAAGGAACTGCTCTGTAGCTATTGTCACTTGAAATAAAATACCCCTGTGAAAAGTCTTCACTAAGTGTTTATTTTGTAGGGAATGGAGCCCTGAAAGACAAGATTACATGTACACCATGTTTTCTAAAAACATCTACTTGACTGTTAGTGTTGCTCCCAGTAACATTGGTATTTGTTGGCACTGGAAAAATAATGCCCTGTTGGAGTGTTTCCCATGTATTTTCATTTGCTTCCTCTTTGTCTTTTCTTATCTTTGTCCCCAGGCTTTCCTATTTTGCCTTTTTTCTTTCTGTTTCCTTCTTTTTACTCTTCTCATTTCAGACAGCTGTCCATTGTTGCAGCAACGACTTGCCTTATTTTGAACCATGAGGAGTTCTGATGGGAAGCCAGGAATCTTTTTTTACCTCAATTGCCTATCTTCCTGTTCCCCACCCCTCTCCAATGCCATTGCTAGTGATGTCCTATCTGAGTCTTGATGTCCCTGTCCCTGTCCCTCAGATGGCAATGGAAATATTTATTTATCTATATAGAATGTCTGGAGATTGGGAGGGGAGAAACACTTTACAGGTGTCAACAGTTTGTTAGTGGTTATAGCTTTCTTGCCTTATTTCTTATTCTTTCTAAATGATATTTATTTTAGCTGTGGAAAAGTAAAAAGATCCCCTGAAAGGCAGTTGATTCTGGTGATACCAGGCTGAGCCACGTTGTCTATGTTTTTACCAGTGTGCTTTTGATTGGTACAGGTCTGTTCACTTAGAATTTATACCTGAAATTTTAATGTCTGAATGAGGCATTCTTATCTCACTTGGTCTGTTTGTGCTCTTAATACAAGTAATCCTTTTTGTATTATAATTTGTCATAAACATTCCAACTAAATTTGAAGTTGGTGATCGTATGTTGCTGCCTGACAGCAGTATGCTTTTTGAGCAGATGCATTCTTTATTTTGCTTCTTTCCTGAAGAAAGAATTGTATGTGCTGTTTTTTATTGTATGTGCACGTTTTTGTTTTCGTGTGGTGGACACGGCTTATAGTTCTTTAGATCCGTATATGGCTATGTGGATACACAGGAGAAATGAAGGTTGGAGGAGTGGTTCTTGAATTCCTAGCAGCAGAGATTAGATTTGTGATTGTTGTGAGTTCCTGTGAGATTATTTGTAGCTTTAGACTGAAACCTCTATTTCCCAAGAAATAGGCTTTATCTTTAACAGAAGAGCCTGTTAGGAACTGCTCACCTAGATGGGTTACGGTTGACAATTCTATTAAAATCAGTCAGAAACATGAGATTGAAATGTAATGCAGGTGTCTGCTAAAAACACTAAGTCTTAAAAATAAAGTCACAGATTCATGAAGGCTTTATTGAAACTTTCTACTCTCTTCCTTTGGGATCTCGGGCATAAAGCAATTGTGATTTTCCTTCTGTAGGAGGAAAGAAAAATAACAAACCAATACCACCCAGGATTGATGCTGTTTGTTTGCACTGTGTTATGTTTCTGTTATAATAAGGAATTCATTGGTTTGTTAGACTTGAAACTGTATCTTTAGGAAACAAAGGCCTGTGCTTGTAAATGAATGCTTATGTAAATACAAATCTGTTATTCAGAGACTAGCATTTGGTGATTTCAAGATTCTTACAGAGAAATTAAGAATGCTGCTTATTTTATGTTTGGAAACATTAGTGATAGTGTCACAGTCTCTTGGGGTGTAAATTTGCTTTATTTTGAAGCTGTTCTGTAAAAAGGACTGTAACATGCATCCTTATAAAAGTGTGTGATGCAGATTATAATTGTTAAAATCTGGACGACTGCAAAGTTCTGGTTTTCAATAGTAATGTAATTTAAAAGTATGTCAAAACTATCCAGTGAAACATTTATGTCTTCTGAAAGTTTTTCTGCCTGTGTTGTTGTTTTTTCAAATATGCAAGTAAGAAAATTGAGAGATTTAGTGGAGGCTTCTTTGATTGATTGTTTTTTATAATAAAAATTGAATGAAAACTATTTTTATTGAATGAAACCTACTATTTCCCATATCCTTTTGTTGATTTATTTCAGGAATTTGAAGCCTTTCAAACATTTGTGGAAAATCGACTTCCATTCGATATCGTTATTGATGGACTCAATATTTCCCATATAATGCCCAGAAAGGTGCAGTGTGAAAATGTAAGTGCTGGTTAAATATTAATTAAGGATTATGTGTATGCTTAGGCTGATGGCAGAACAATTAGTGCCCCATTATTACTTACCCTCTTGAGAAAATGAGCAAACATTTTTGTAGCACATATTACAGTGAAATTCAAAGACTATCTAGACTTTGCAGATTAAAACAATTAGATGAAAGATGGTGGTTCTTACATATTTGACTGTATTAGTCAAATAAAATCATACCTGAATTTCCTTTAGTGTGTCATGCTCAGAGATAGGCCTAACTTTATTAGGACATATATTGTATCTGTTTTCATAATAGGGAACAGAATAAATGTACTATATAGAGGACTTGGTCTAGTACAGTTATGCTCATATATTGAAATAACTCTTATTTCAAACTGTATCCTGTACAAGTTTCAATTTCATTTTGGTTTCTGTTGTCTTAAGCATTTGAGTCCTGTAGAAGCAAGGGGCAAACAATCTTCATTTTTTTCCACTTTGGTGATTTTTAGGATAATCCTGTCTCTTTACCAGTGCCCATTTTTGAGAATTCTTGATACTCCTTTTTTAGTATTTCACTAAGAAATGGCTTCATGTTTTTTATTGTTGTTGCTTTTGTCCCACTCAAGATCTATTTTAAATTAGTAATTATGGGAAATAAAACTATTAGAGACCATCCAAAAGAGAGCTAGGAAGATGGTGAAGGTTCTAGAGGGGATGACATATGAGGAGCAGCTGAGGTCTCATGGTTTGTTCACCCCAGAGCTGAGGGGAAGCGTCGTTGCTGCAGCTCCTCACAGGGAGTGGAGGGCAGCACTGAGCTCTGCTACAGCAGTTGCTAACAGTACCCAAAGGATGGCATGGTGCTGTGTCATTAAAGGGTCAGACTGGGGGGTTAGGGAAAGGTTCTTTACCAGAGGGTGATGGGTATAGAACGGGTTTCCCAGGGCAGTGGTCTTGACACTGAGCTGTCAGAGTTGAAGAAGTGTCTGGACAACACTGTCGGATGTATGTTTTGATTTTTGGGAGCCAGAAGTCAGACTCAGTGTTTCTTATGGTTTCCTTCCAACTTGGGGTATGTCTTCCAAAGCCAAACTTTACAAAGAATTTGAAAGTTTAATTTACTTCTAGCAATTACAAGAAAAGCAGTTTAGTTCTTAGAACTACTTTAAAACTATTCAGAAGAGGCAGGATATCCTCTCACATATAGAGATAAAAGTGGTTGAGCTAGGAGCTAGATAAACCTGCTGAAAGATGTCTGAGAGCTGTGGTGAAGTTTCATGAGACTCTGGCTCATGAAAAGGGTACTTTCCTTAGTGTGAAAATAGAAAAGGAAGTTTACAAGTCTGTATGGGAACATGGGGAAGAGTTGATTACCTGAGAAGATTCCCAGGCAGTGTGCAGTGGCACAGTATTTTTAGACCTATAAAGACAGATTCATGCTGTCAAGGAGGGAAGAGAAATGAACTGTTGGCTTGTTGATGTCCAGCATTGGTTCATGCCTGTACCAGTGTGGGAGCTCTGAATGAAGTCCTGAGTATTCAGTGAACTCTCTGAAGATATTCAAGGCTTGCCTGGACTCCTTCCTGTGTGATCTATTGTGATTTCATAGTGGTGTTTGGACTTGATTTCTATAGAGCTCCCTTCCAACCCCTCCAGTCTGTGTGATTGTAGGCAATGGGGTGAAGAGTCAAATTGGTTACTGCTGATTTCTGATCAGAAGTCTTTCTAGGAGATATTGGCATGTTGAGCAGCATAAGCTACGTTTTCCTTCCTGGCTTCTCCTGTGTTTGTTGGAAAGACATTAGGATCTGCCATGCCAGGCAGCTCCAGGAGGGCAATATGGAGACATCAGCTTTCCATTTAGATGATTCTGTGTTGGTACAGGTTGAATTCCTCATAAGTCCTAGGTACTTACAAATTAGGAGAGTATGTATGCTTTCTGCCTTGCATAACAGGACAGCAACTGTTAAACAGAGGAAAAGAAGGAAAAGAATGAGCAATGCAGAACAGTGCAACTCTTTCTTCTGCCTCCAAACTTTGCCTCTGGATAAGGGAAAGACAGGCCAACTTTGCAGGACTGTTGATCTGGCTGCAGGCTGCCCTTTGGGGGCTCGTGATGCCACTACCTTGCTGGAGGCTGCCATCATCACAGCAGAAACAGCTGACTGGGAAGGTACAGAGTAGCAGGTCTGGGGCTCAAAGGGCAGAACTGAGAATATGAAATGAAGAAATACATGCAAGAAAGGTTGAAGGAAGTGGGAAGGATAAAGTTGACAGTGAAGGCTGCTGAGGTCGAACTGGATGTCCAGCACGGCAAGAATGGCCGATTTAGAGGAGCGTGTTGTGACTCTTTAGTGCTTCTGTGGTTTAGACCTTCTGTGCTTGTCCTGAGAAATGATAGTACAGGAGCATATTTCCAAGAACTTGTGTTAAAAGCTGGACAACACAATGTGTTTTATTTGGAAAAAGTTAAATTATTTTACATCTCCAGGTGGGAATCATCTATGCTCTTCTCAGGGGTTTACTACAGCATCTGTCCAAGTTAGTCAGGATGCTGCATGGTAAATCGGTTTCCAGCCTACAAGGAATATGCTATGATGGGTAGGAGAGCAAATGAGATTGTTGTTCTCTGTAAGCGTATGTGTAAACTGTTGGCTTTTTGTACCACTTGTAACACAATTTAGAGAGAATACCGGAATATAAGTCACTGTCAAATGTGGGAGGTGGCATAAAATCTATGTGGCAATTTTGATGCTTTCTTGTCTTTATTTAAATTTAACAAAAAATACTGTGCCATTTTTAGATTTAGTTGTAGGAAATGTGAATGTGGTGCTGAAGAACAACTAGCTAACTCTTAGTGAGATTACTGAAATTAGAAAACATTGGTAAAAGTACTACTTTGTTTTTCAAACAAATAATATTTGTAATTCCACTTATGCATTTTGTAAGCATCCTGGAAGGTGGCTGGGTATGTGGGGAAGACACAAGTATCTTGTTTGTGGGATGAGAAGAAAAGACAAAACAGCAGAACTTGAAGGAATGATTTTTACTCATTTAATCCCAAAAGTATTCCGGTGTTCTATAGAATGAGATATGTGACTTCCAGAAGCCACGGGGACCTTCAGTTTTCACAACCAGCACTTAACAGAGCATGATGAATCTTACCGACTTAGCAGATTTACAGGAATATTCTGTGGTAATTTCTCTATTACACGTTATGGTCTCTTTGTAATTATAATCTTTTTTTTTTTTTTTTTGGCCAGGTTGATTTTTAAACTAGAGCTGTTTTTCCTGATGCACATCACTATGCAGCTGCATCAATTACTGACAAAAGAGGAGAGAGCATGAGGGTGGGGTCAAACAATTTGTAGAGGAATAGAACGTTGAGAAGATGTCTTTTGAAGGCAGTCACTATAAAACTGCCACGCTAGGTATTAGCAGTACCTCTTTTCAACCCTTTGCAACTTAGCTTATCACTTTAAATTAGACATTAAAATTAATTCTAATTAAAAGGTATGATAGAGTGGAAATTATTCTGCTAATCCAAGCAGCAGAAACAGAATCCCATAAAGTGTGAAATAGTTGAGTCACGTATTTCTTGCAGTCTTCTGTGGATTATATTTTCTTCCTGTTTAAGACTGCTCCTGATGTCTTTGCCTTGATGAGTCAGTCACAGTTTATAAACTACCATTTTTGCAATAGAAACTGAAAAAGCCTTGCTGTTTGACTAAGCAAAGGTCACTGGGGCTGTGTTGTGACTTTAAGTTAATCCAGATGTATCTAATGACATAAATCCTCAGCTAACACAATATCAGTTGGAATTCCCTGTCCCTTGCTGCCCTGACTCCCTACAGTGCTTCTGCCTTTCACCTTGTAAAGGTCAAGAGAGGGAATTTCCACACATTAGCTGCGCAGTTCTTTTGTTAAACAAAAATGTTGCATAATTTTAAATGCACTTTTTCTGGTTTATCAGTTTTTTGTAGTATTCCCTAGAAGTGAGGGGAATCTAACTGCATGCAGGGATACCAAGGCTCTGAAGCATCCCACTTCCCTTGTGGCAGGGGAGTGTGGAAGCTCTGCTGAGCTCTTTCCAACTATTTCTGGATTGTAGGAGCAGGAGGTAAGAGGTAGGAAGCAAGCATGATGTGGAAAGGACTTCACTATTTTTAATTTACATCTAAATTAGTTTGTTGTAAATGAGGTATGCAGCCATCTCCCCTCATAGCTGTACCCAGCTGGTCTTTGACATAACTGAATATATATGAAAAAAAAAAATATACATACATAGACACGTTTCAAATGTGTGCTGGAATAGATCAAAGCAAACTCACAATTCCGTTCTTCAAACAGTTCAGCCACTTAGGCCTGATCAACCCTAGCTTTTTACTCTGATCTCTGTATTGAACTCAGACATCTGAAAGATTGGTAAAATACTTCCAGATTGAGTTCATTAAGCACAAAGGAATAGTTCTTGCTCTTGGCATGGAGTTCAAAGTGGTTGCTTCCAAACTTAATTGGAATTTCTGTAAATGGACTACACAAGTTCATATAATTCCCATGCAAACTACAGTAGGCTTGTACAACAGCTGACAAAGCCAGACTCTTGCTATTCCCCTCTCATCCCAGCCTGGTGGCAGCAGTTGGCAGCCAGTTCTACCACACCTCCTCCCCACAGCAGCAGCTGGGAGGAAGAACCACCAAAACTGCCTTTCTGCATCTCTCACAGCCTTCCACAGGAAAAAAAGCTGTGACTGTTCCTGTTGGGGGCAGCTCTAGGACAGGCAGAGAGTTGAGATTTACCTGGTAGATACTTCCTCTCTCTGCTAGGGGGAAATAGCAAACTTGCTGAATGGAGGTTTAACAACAGGAGAAAGGTTGTATGACTAACAATCACTGGTTACCGCATTTATTTTTCATGTTAATTAGTTTTCAAATTTTGTCAAAGTTTGAATGTAGTATTACAGTTTTAGTTGTTCCAGTGGTTTTGTGTTAGTTATACCTGTGCTCTCCGTCCTTGGCAGCATGGAAAAGAAAGAGAAGAAAGAGGTTGCACCCTGTAAGGGAAAGCTGACAGTGGGAAGACTTCCACTGGAATAGAGAAGTAAAACAGGATGAAGGATGCTAGCCTACAGGCAAATAGTGAATAGTCTTATTAAATTTTACATTTATTAATTTTTAAATTTATTAAAAAAAAAAGAAAAGACTATGGAATTGAAATACTTTAAAGAATTATTCTTTGTGAATTCAGCTCAGAACTATTGTTTTGATATGAACCTTATTCACAATGTCTAGGCTCTTTCTTCATGTATGAAGATTAAAAATACAGCTCTTAAAGTGGGGAAAAAAAGAGGAGGAAAAGTACAGGGATGCAGTAACCCATCATTATTAACTCCAGTCAGTTTTGGAGTATAACTTTGTTTCTTTGAATTCTCTTGCACCATGATGTAAGGGGAAAAAAAAAAAAGCTATTGGAACTTACAGTATTTGAGTTAAACTACAAGCAAAATTTTCTCTCGCGTGTCTGATGTACTGAATGTATTTGGAGGTCAAAGAATGAAAGAAGTATGCTTACACATAGTAGACAAATTCAGGTACTAATGTACCTAGATTGTCATTTAGGAACTTTTCCCAGTAATTAAGTCTAGTTAATTCCCAGTAATTAAGTCTAATTAATTTCTAGTGTACTACATGTGTATGAGATTTAGCGAGACAGTGATACTTGTTATAAAACATAAGCACTTCTGTATGAGCTGTCCTGCAAAACAAGCATTTATTAATGAATTTGCCCCAAATCAAGTCATGCATGGAAAACTGTTTTTTTTGTTGACTTGTTTGGCAGCATCTGTGATTTGTTCAAGTACTTTAGTGTCTTCAAATGAAGTGAAAATTGAGTAGATCCATGAGTCATTCTCTGTTCAGAATCAATACATCCAACAGAGGTCTTATTTGTCATACTGTGACAGTTCATCAATTCTTCCTCCCACCATCTCTTGTCTGACAACTTTGCTGAGTGGTAGGACATGTTTGTCCATTTGCTCTCAGCCTTTTCCATCTCTCTCTTTTCTGTCTTTATAATGATAGTCCAAGTTTACATTTCTGTGATGACTGAAAGTTTGCCTTGTTACTTAATTTTAAAACAGTAGGAATTTGTCTTTGCAAAATCTTTTTCAGTCTTTGGAACTGTGTTTTCAGTTCCTTTGAGTATTAGTCAAATGATGAAGATATTTGATGGATTCATTGAAAATCACCTCCAGCATCTATGTAACATGATATGATCCTCAGTTGATTTAATCACAGGATACCTCTACTAATATTCAAGTTTTCTCTTAGAAGAGAAAAGGAATTCAAAGACTAGCAGGTACTCTTGCAACTTCACTTATTTTTAGTGTTAGAGGTGTGTGACTAGTGCTCTCAGCATTGCGTTTTATCTCTCCTCAGTTAATTTCTGAGAGTCCTTGAGTGTGTCAGGAGGTGTACTGGGTCAGTTTCTTCTTCTAAGTCACATGTAAGAGACTGATATGCTAAAATCTTCCCTCCACACTGGGGCCATGTAAAATAAGGTAGATCAAGTTCGTACGTTTTTGGTCACCAGATCCTGAAGAAGAGCATAGCTTTTAAGCTTCTAAGGAGAGGTGAATGAAACTAGGCTTGTTTGCCTCATACCTTGAGTGAAGACTGTCTTCTCACAATTCTTTGGAAAGGTCTGACAGTTTCCATTTGTAGCTAAAAAAGAAATGGAAGGACACTTAGCGTACAGATTCACCTACATAATAATTGAAAGCATACTTGTCACGAGTGTCACAGATTCTAGAAATACACCTCCAAGTTGTAAGGATGTATGCTTTCACTTTCCTTTTAGAGGTAGTCAGCCTGCTTTTGCATTCCTTGTTGGGGAAAATGAAGCAGCAGAAACTGAGCAGGTTAAGCCATTTGACCATCAGGGAACCTCTCCCTGTTGCTTTCTGCCCAATTTTGATAGTTTGTTGTGGTGCCTCACCTTAATATTTGCAACCTTTGCTGCTGGTTACAAGGCTGAATAAAGATGATTAAATGAAGGATCTGTGTTGATTCCTCTCTGGCATTTATTATTTTCTGCCTTTGGCAGTAGCAGCAAATCAAATGTTGAGTGACGCAGGCACTCCATTTTTATGAGAGGAATTGCATCACGTTTTTTGTAACTAAAACTCTTATACATCACCAGATACATAAGCTTGAATTTCAAGAAAGCAGAATGATTCTGGCCTCATGATCTGTGTCCCAGTGAACTCTCTAACTGTAGCAACAGGTTGTTTGCTGTGCTTTGGAGAAGTCCCACTGAAATCTAGGTGATAAAGTCAAATGGCATCTATAAAGTGGATGAGTTTCAATCTGTCTGTTTCACTTCCCCCTTTAAAAAAAAAAAAAAGCAACATGAACTTTCTTTGGGCTGCCCAACAGATTCATCTAATTATGGAACTGTTACCTCTATGGCAGTAGTATGGTATGCCTCCAGACCTGAAACCAGTCTTCAGGGAACAGAACTACATCCTTAGAAGGTATTCTTAATGGCACTGGGTCCGTATTGAGCAGTGCCATAAAGATATGGAGAGTAGGCCAGAAAACAGGAACTTTGGTTTATTAGGGGCTAATTCTATGTAAAAATAAATATTTGATTTGAGCCTGAGAAATACTGTGGGTTGATTTTGTGTGTCGTCTTAAAGATAATGTAGATAAAATCATCAGAACAGTGGTTGCATTCATTTATATGCATCTGAATTTATGTACTTCAAAAACAATCAATTTTTGATTCTCTCTTGGCTTTTATTGCTGATATGCTAATTTTAGCAGAAAGAAAATACACCTGTTTTGAAGCTGTGTTATCTGAGGGAGAAAAGGTACGATGAATCTAAAGCCTAAATTTCATTTTGAATGTTTTTGAAGTTATGAAAGCCTAGACTTCCTTGCATAATCAGTTATTCCCAGAAATTTCAGTATATTGACATGCAGATTAATAATTCAACAAGTTATTAACCAACACTTTTGTTTTTTCTCTAGTTGAATACTACTTGTAGAGCTAGAGTGGAGTAAACATTTATATAGGCAGCTAAATCTATTTAAATTGATAAAATGGTTAGAAACTGCAGTGGAAATTAAAACCAAAGTTAAATAGTTTTTTTTAATATCTTCCAGAAAAATTGAGTAAAATTCTCCACAGCTTCTGATCTGAATTTATTCATAAGCTGATTTTTCACATTCATCTTTGAAACAAGAAAGTTATGAATTCCTATTTGAATCTACAACGATGAAGAAAGCACGGTGAACGTGATCTCACTGACAGTGTGCTTGTTCAAAAACAATTCACTAGAATTCCTATTTCAGACTTCTGACACATTGTAAAAGCACTAAATGTAGAATACTGTTACCACTACAGGTGAATCCTGCATCAAACAGTTACTGTGAAAAGCATATTTTTTTCCAGTACTGATTTTGTATGTCAGATGCAGAAGTTGACGGGTTCTATCAAGTTTGGAGGGATGATTCCTGTTATTAGTCTCCCACAGTTTGTTACTGATATAGGAACTTGTAGATTAAGAAGTTGCATCCTGACCAGCAAATCTAATTGCTGTTGATGGAATTTACTCTGATAAATTTTGTTAATTACCTTCTTGGAATACTTCTGATTTTCATCCCTAAGGGTGGTCCCCAAAACCACATTTTAAATCACTTGGAATGCTTCATCTCTGACACTACATTAAACTGCCTCATATTTTTAGGAAACCTACATCTTCTTGAGAAATTCTCCATTTCAATTCAAATCATTTACATATTTCATTTTGATTTTTTCAACTATGTACTGTTGCCCTTTTTTTTTTTCCCCACACAGGGATACTAGCTTCTGATACTTGTGTTTCCTCCTGATCTCTTATTCACCATGCACATCTTTAATAATCTGAACTGTTCTTTTCATGGTTCTATTCAGAAACACACATTTAAGTTATAGTGAGTCAAGTAAGCCAGAAGCTAAAGATTTTGTCAAAATTGTGTGAATGTAAAGACTATTTTCCAAAGAATTTTACCAGTATTAACTGATACTTTCTGAATTGTTTTATATCATTCCCAACTGCTGCTTTGTTCTGTCCTTGCACAATTTTTCCATTTTTTACTTGGGTTCAGTGTGGACCTATGTATGTCAGATTTTTTATGACACCAGCTTAGCTTTGATGTAAATGAAGAAATACTAGAAATACTACATCTTGCTTATATTGTGTCCTCATTGCTTTCCTGCATTCATCAATTTACCTGCTCACTTCTGTGATCATTAAAAAAGAAATGGGTTGGCAGTAATATTTCTACTGCTTGCAATATTTTAATCTATTTGATTTAAAAATATCCTTTCCAGAGTTTGTGTTGATATGCTCCTTGAGCAAGTTATGTACACTGTGTGGCGTGAGCTCTCTAGCAGAAGTTAAGAACCAGTTCATTCCCACTGATTCAGCGGTGCTGTTCCTAACACACATGGTGTACCTGTGTAGAAGAATCCTCTTTGCTGGTGCCTTCTCTCCTTGTTTATTTCCTAATTGCATCATAATTGGGTAAATTAGGTAGTGCTTACACTATGCAGTGGAAAAATTAAATGTAGAAGTGTGATACAGGTGCTTATTAGAGTTGAGTTTCATTGGAATTTGAGCATTGATATTCAATATGAGTTGGGGGAAAGCTGAGTGGAAGACGGGTATTGCTTTGATGCTAATACTTCCTATATTACTACTTGATTGATTAATTGATAGGAATTTTCTTCTACTGCAGCCCTAAGTTGGCATTTACTTGAATAAATAAATGAAGTGGTTGTAAGTGGGATGCTTGAGGATAGTCAGAGAACTGAACCAGACAGCCTTAATGGCGTTCATTTATCCTGCTCGTTATTAGGAGTCATTGTCCTGGGCTTGTCTAATGTTAATTTTGCTGCATTGCTTTCAATATCTAAAGTCATTTTTTGTTTACATGTTATTACCCTGAAAAACATTGCATTGCACTATCTACATCCATTTATGCATGATGGCCCTAACATGCAGTGGTTTGAACGAAGAGGTTTGGAGGCTTTTGACATCATCACTTGTCATTGATACGTATGTCATACTTCATGTCTTCTTGTCTTGAAATGTAGGAAGTTCTATCTTTCTGCTGAATGAGCATCTCCAAAGGGACGTTCAGAAGCAGTAAAACAGGGATTTCTGTTTTCTTGTCCCACTCATTCTCACATCCACAAGCTCCTTCACTGGGCTCGCCTAGCCAACATAACCTGTAATATCAAATAGTTTTAACACTGAATTATCAGATAAATTGGGCTGTATTGTCTGTAAACTAAAGTTATCCCTTGCACTTGAATGCAGACATTTGGTCTTAAGTGCTGCAGAGGCCATTATGTGGTATGTGCATTCTTTCCACAGAAGTGGGCAAAGATGCAGTGGAATTCCTCAAATGGGCTGGTAAGTATAGTCACAGACAGATAGCTGGAAACAATTGTTTCAAGTCCTCAAAATGAAATCTCCTTTGAAATGAGAAAGACTTCCCTGAAACAATGGGTGGAATGTTCTTATTTTGCTTCTGTTGCTTGAATCTTTCTGGTGATCATATTTTAATATTCTTGGGCTTATTTTTCTGACCGTGACAAAAATTAACAAAGTAGACAAATGTTTTTATATAACCAGTTATTTCCAGGAGATAGAGCTTTCAGATGAATGTCAGATATCACCCATAATTAACTAGTGGAAGCTGACAATATTATCAATTTGTCAAATTACTTTATCTTATCTCCTTAAAGAAAAGTACTTAAGATAAACACTGACCCACCCAGTGCTCAGCTATTGAGTATTTCAGGCTGTTATCAACCCGCTTCTATTTAAAAGCATTGAAGTAAATTAGATCTTGTGGATCTTAGCCATGTCTAGGCTACTGTCTAGGATCTCTAGCCTCAGATGTTGGCAGCAGTGATACTGGTAGCAAAGTAGCATGAGTCTACATTGTTGCACAATGCAAGTTAATGTCTATATTAATAAGAATAATGCTGAAATATTGAAGTCCCCTAGATTTTCTCCAGCCTGATAAATATTAGTTATGCTTACGTTAGTATTAAGCAGATTACTTCCTTGATCTCTCATTGCCAGAAGCCTCATTGCACTGTCTGCCAGGCAGCTGGTATGTGTGCAGGGCAGGTGGGCCTGGCTCTGGCCATACAGCTGTTCCTCCACCCTTGGCCTTTTTTTGCTGTAGTTTGTTTTTTCTAATTTTTGCCCTCTAGAAGGTGAACATTTGATATGTTCTCTTGTCGGATTAAACACATTTTCATCTTTTAAATTGAAATCACTAGGTCTGAATAGTATTAGTTGTATTATTACAGTTGTAATTTACAACTGTATTAATACAGTTGTAAATGTATTTATTTGTGTAAAGGACTAGAAGTCCTTATTGGAACAATGGTTTTTGGAGGTAGTGTCTTTAGCTGTGAATAATAATCTGTAGCAAACAGACGGGAAATAGTGGTAATGAGGAACAGAACGAAAACCGTGTGAAAATTCTACCACAAATATTTGCTGCATGCTATAGAATTTTATTTATTTATTTTTTTAAATTGCAAGCTGTTGATTTACAAATGATTTTCCTTGTTATTGTGTCATTCTTACTGGGCCATAGGCCTGTTTACCTCTTGGCACAAAAACTGTCTATATTTTAAAGTTTTTCTGTAATTCTCAAATTTATTGAGAGGTAAATTGTCACTGCAGAAGTACAGCTCTACTGGGCCTTGATCAGCATCATACCTATGCCTGCTGACCCACCGATCTTCCCAGCTGGTGCAGCTCCTTTCCTCAAAGAACAAAAGTACTGCCTGGGACTTTCTGAACCACAGATTGGAAAGGGGGAAAACACTTCACGCTGTACTGGGTCAGTGGTGCTTTACAGACATCTGCATAAGACAGTGGTGAAAACTAAAATATTGATATCTTTTTAACTGTCATTTTTGGTCTCACAAAACTGATTTCAGTCCTGCTCTAAGTTATTTCCTATCTATGGAAAAGATCAATCAAGCTTGTTCTTTCATTTTCATAACACCACTGCCACCACCACCTGGAGATCCTGCTCACATTTTGGATTTTCAGTACTTACATATAACTTCTGACCCAGCCTGTCAAAATGTAAGACTGGTGC